AGATCACAATAGCTGTTCTCTCAAGTAGACGACAGAGATAGAGATAACAGAGAAGACCTTCCTTCTCTGAAGAAACCTAGCAGAGGATAAAGCTAATGGTCATTAGGTTGATATCTAGGGATTAACATTGAAGAAAAACCCAGGACACATATATCATGTGAGAGTTGACACAACACTTCGTCAATCGTTGACTTGAAATATTTCTCTTTTCTACAGTGGTTGGAGAAAAGGAAAAGATAAATAACGCTGTCAATGTTCGAACAAGAGACAACAAAATTCATGGAGAGATTTCAGTAACTTCTGCCATCGATAAACTGAAGAATCTCAAGAGATCACGTACACTGAATAGGAAGACTTTTGAAGTCCCTTCCTTAGATTATATTTGCTTCTGTGCAACTTCATTTTGACCTTGAAAATGTATTTTTATTTTTTTTTTAGAGAGATTTTCGCTGTAGGGCACGTGCACTTGCCAGAGAGACAGAGACAGAAAGTGAGAAATCACCCTTAGAGGGGATGGCCATGCTGTGTAGTCCCTTCTCCTCCATTCTCCTCTCAGGATTCTGGGCACGTACACACATGCGCCTGGCATGAGTTTCAAGCCATTGAGTCCAGGACTCAAACCACAGTCAGTTCCGTGGGAGTCGAGCCTTAAACCACTCTGCCACCTGTTGGCCCCAAAATGTATTTTTCTTAACCTTTAACATGTTAGTACTTCTAAGAACTTTGGACCCACAGATAGGTCCAGTCATGGGCTTAGTTGAAAAAGAAGACAATAAATGATTAGCTGATATGTATAAAGCCTAATTTATCCATGTGATCCAAGACCAGTAAGAGGCCAAACTTGGGAAATGGGCCATGCCTTCAGAGACTTAAGTGGAGAAATGGTCATTCACAAAGGGAAACATTAGGAAAAGCAGAATCTGAAACGTCATTGACAAGATTTGTGATTTTCAAAAAATGGGCTTCCAATAACGGTCTGCAAAGCTTTGTTAATAGGGGGGAAATCTTCTTTTCTAATAATATTATGAGTCAGGTATTTTTATGGCTGTTTTACTAGCGTTGACACTGAAATTTTATCTCCCACATCGGAATGATTATTTCATTTGTTTTAAATAATCGTCCACCACCAAAAACAGCAGGTAGGACTAAATACTGTATTACTGACAAAAGACTGAACCTCAAGGACATTCAGTGTCATGGAATCTGTTGCTTGTACCATAGGTTTGAGAGTTGCAGTTTTAATGCTTCTAATTCATCATTAAGCTTTGTTTGAAAAAAAATAATACAATTCCCAAATAAAAACGCACCATGCAGTGTTTCCTTGTTTCAGCGATGGGCTTCTACCACAGTCAGCTACTTACCAAGAGTTAATGACATCTCTGATGGACCTGATATTCCACTGACTTATAAACTCAAATGGACTGACGATTTTAACTGAAAGACTACCTTGCTTGTTGGGACCAGCAGTTGGCATAATGGCTATATCACTGGACTCCCACGTAGTCGACCGCGGTTCGAGTCTTGGACCCAGTGGTTTAAACTCACACCAGGCACGTGTGCGTGCGTGCCCAAGATCCCGAGAGAAGAATGGAGGAGAAGGGATTGTGGCGTGGCCATCCCCCCTGAGGGGATGATTTCTGGCTTTCTGTCTCTCTGTCTGTCTCTCTTTCTGGCGAGCACAAGCACTCTAGCAAAAACCTCTACAGAAAAAAAAAAAAAAGAATACCTTGCTTGCTCAAAATCAAACCAAAGTGGCTTTGTGTCAGTGTAGAATATGGCTACCAGTCCAGAAGGACTTATTTATTTGGCTGAGTGCTGTGGAATTCAAACAAAATGTAAGGTGCAATTTTTCTGTAACATACTGATTATTTGGCTGCCTGAGAGACGTGAACAATGCAACAGTTCATACAACAATGCTATATATCAGACCTGTGTGGCAGAATATGTGTGTACGACTTTTTTTAAAAGAATTACTTTAACTTTATTATTTATTTTTTAATTTGGCCAGAGACGGAGAAAGAGAGAGAGAGAGAGAAAGCAAGCCCCAGGTCCAAGACTCAAACTGTGGTCGGCCATGTGGGAGTCCAGCGCCCTTAACCACCACACCACCTGCTGGCCCCATGTGACCAATTTTTTTTTCTTTTCTGTTTTTTGAGAGGTTTTTTGCTATAGGGCACGTGCACTCACCAGACAGACAGAGACAGAGAGACAGAAAGCGAGAAATCACCCCCTGGGGGGATGGCCACACCGCAATCCCTTCTCCTCCATTCTCCTCTCGGGATCTTGGGCACGCACGCACACACGCCCGGCGTGAGTTTAAGCTACCAGGTCCAGAACTGGAACCACAGTCCATTACATGGGAGTCCAGCGACATAGCCATTACGCCAACTGTTGGAACCCTGTGTGTAGGATTTTTAAGAGAGATTTTTGCTATAGGGCGCGTATGCTCACCAGAGAGACAGAGGCGAGAAATCACCCCCCAGGGGGAATGGCCGTACTGCAATCCCTTCTCCTCCATTCTTCTCTCAGGATTTTGGGCATGCACGCACATCCGTCCCAGCCTCAGGGTGTAAGACTTGAACCATGGTCAACTATGAAGGAATCCAGCGATATAACCATTATGCCATCTGCTGGTCCCAATATGAGGAGGAGAAAGGGCGGTGGGAGGGGTGTTCTTGACAGGGTCCTGCCTTGGTGATCCTCCTGACCCAGATTCCCATTTAGCCAGGGATACAGGTGGATTTTTTTGTTTGGAGAGGTTTTTGCTATAGGACACATCCACTCGCCAGAATGACAGAGAGAAAGTGAGAAATCACCCCCCAGGGGGGATGGTCATGCCACAATCCCTTCTCCTCCATTCTCCTCTCGGGATCTTGGGCATGCACGCACACGCGCCCAGCGTGAGTTCAAGCCACCGGGTCCAGGACTCGAACCGCGTACAGGTGATTTTTAACCCACCAGGCCTCCTGTGTACCCTGAGCCTTATCGAGTACCCGGCTCTTTGAGGAGTAGCTGGGCCTGCAGTATATTAAAGCTAACATTTACTGAGGGCTTATTGTGTACCAGGTGTCAGTCTATGTGTTTATTTTTTTGTTTGTTTCTAAGATTCTTTTGCCACTGGGTGCTGGAGAGAAATAGAAAGGGAGAAATCACTGCACCACCCCACAGGGGGCATGGCCACACAGCAATCCCTTGAGATTTCAGGCACATGCACCTGTTTTTTCTTTCAAGCTGCAGATGCAGGATTTGAACCACTGAGTCAAGCATGTTGGATCCTGCGCCTTAACAAAAATGCCATCTGCTGGCGCGTGCGTGTGTGTGTGTGTGTGTGTGTGTGTGTGT